CTCAGTAAGAGTGAAAGTCTGTTCTGGTGTGCAACAGTATATCTGCATTTTAAAATGAGCTTGAAAAAAACCTGAGCTCATTATTAGTATTGCATGCAAAATAATTTCTGTTATATCCTGTGCAATGTAGATATGGCCATGGCAATACAATGATATTTGCTGCTGTATGCCTACATAGTTTTCAAAACTATGCTTAGCTAAATTGCTAAGCAGACTGGTAAATGTCCAATTTTAGCAGCCTAGCATATGTTTATAATTTTTGTTTTAACATATGCTATGTTGGTTGAACTCCCCTCCCCACACATACGGTAGATAAAAGCTGTCACATCACGAAATGGTGGCAGCCCAACTTTTCTAACATTTTCCATGGCACTTCAGAGTCTTGCATTAATTAGCTATTCTTGGATAGGAGACAGACTCTCATCTTTGTAGAATTTTTGTTTCAAACCCGTCGTGTACTGCAGTTTATGTATGCAGTAGCCCATCTGTGTCTCTGCAGCCATAAACAGTGAAAAGCCCAGGGCGTACGGAAAGGCGGCCAGCGAGCGTGAGGATGCCCTTGGCTCAGAGACCGATACCTGGCAAACGAGCCTGCAGGCAGGGCCGGCTGGTTCTCTGGTGGGCTCTGGTGTGCTCAGACAGGAGCCTTCTCTCTTCCACTTTTCTACGAGAGGTGGGTGAATCAAACAACGCTGGTGCACTGTCCTTTTCCTGTTCGTTGTGAGCGGCTCAGCTGCCCCTCTTTTCTCCTCCTTTTTCAAGGCAAGTGTAAGGAGAGATTGCACTGAGTCTACGATGCTTTCCTAAACCTCGGTGGAGTAGAGGGGACTTGTGACAAACACCACTGCAGCTGTGAGGATGCTGTCTTCATCCTTGCTGCACCGTGACGTGGAAGCCTGGATTTATACACGACCAGGACATGCCTTAACAGTACAGCAGCGTGATCCCTTATCACCTCAAACTGCCTTTTGCACGTGCTCCAAATTCACGAGATGGTTTGGTGTTCTGTCTGCTGTTCCCCTGTTGTTAAGCTCCTGACTGCGGTGTACTGCATGCGTCATGTCTGCTGTGCTGCTGCACAGTGGGTGGGTGGTTTTCTGCGGGGGGTGAAGGAGCCTTGCCCATCAACCGAAACTGCTGCAGGCATGGCACGGGGCCTGTGGTAGAGCACTGACACTGGCAAGTGCAGTCACGCCTGTGCCTGGTCCATCTGCAGCATGGACAGGGTTGCTGTCATGCCTTCGTCCCTGGGTGGCATGGGTGCCACCTCCTGCCCTCTGGTCTACCTTGAAGCTGCTCAAAAGCACATACCCACCTGCAGGCATGGTTCCAGGTGTATTGCCAAAGCATAACGTGTGATACCATCCCTATCAGAGGTCCGAGTTCCCGCAGTTGTATGAGACATCTCAGTATGGAGACTGAGGTACAGGGACAGGCCCGTGGAGCTTCTGAGGAGCGGCTGAGGTACCAGGCAATGTGACAGTGCCAGCATCAAGGGAAGGACCTGAGTAACAGAAGATGGTGGACCTGGTGCTTGCACGCCCACCTGCAGTGCTTTGAGAAACTCCATGGGGAGCTGCGGGGGGGGCAGCCTGCTTCTGAAACCCGGCGTTGGCCCCCACCTCGGAGTCGGAGCCACTGTCAAGCCCAGACCACGCGACCCACGGGTAGTGCTGGTGGAGCACTTTGCTCCATGGATGGATCCATCTTTGGATCGTGGGTGCCAGTGGTGGGTGTTCGATGTTTATTTTCCCGTTCATGTGTTTGCTTTCAGCTACGGGACCTGCAGCTGCTGTTGGCTGGAAGTGGCTGTTCGCTGGCTGGCAGTCTTGGCTGTGGGATTCGGGTTTTGTCAGTGTGCACAGAAACCGGTGTGGGTTTACTGCCAAATAATAACCACAGTGGAAACAAAGGAAGAAAATGATAGATTTAAACTGTGTTTTTTGAGACCTTTAGGTAGATGTTTACAAGAAATAAGTGTCTATTTATTACAAATGAACGAAGTAATTCGTGTATCCTTAACATCAGCTATTTATTGCTAGCAGACAGGTAAAGAGATTTCCTTATTTTCCAGTGTTGCTCTCCACCCAGTTAAACATTTCTTTGATTTTGAAAGCTTTTTTGTACTGTGTGAAGAGTGCAAACATGGCTTTTTCCTTCCTTCTCTATGGCTTCTCTCCCCAGTTGTAGTTTATCACCAGCTGAGTTGAATGAAGTCCAACGCATTCTTCTGTAACGATCCTGGAAGCAGCGTGTGTGAGTCTGTGGTGGCAGAGGGGAGCAGAAGACTGTTGGTGAAGGACTTGAATTCGTTTCTGGCGCTCTTGTGTGATATCATGTTGGTGGCTTCTTTACTGCTTGTTTGCAGTACTTGGACATTGGATAACTCATCAGATAACGTTGGATAACTAACTTTTTTTCTTACTGCTCATAGTAGATTTTGCTTTAGATTAGAATAATAGTGCAGACAGTAATGCAGTTTAACTATTTAAGGCACAAGCATGATGTTAGGATGAAAACTCTGATACAAGTTCACCTGTAGGTTTTTCTCCTGTACGGGTTTAAGAGTATATATCACTTGCTCAGAAAAATTAGCGTTTCTGAACCATCACCAGTGTTGCCCTTTACAAATACTGAAAAATCATCAGACAAGACCTTAGTGATGTATATGTTAGAGTCTCCCTTCAAAAATCTGAGTCTTAAAATAAACAAAAGTCACCCCCCCCAACACTTATGGTTCATGTTCAAATTTTTTTCCTTGAAATTATGATCATGAGAAGAACCATTTATGTGGAAGTTAAACTTCTGATATGGTTGTCTGATTCTCAGAGGAATGGTATTTAGGAAACAGCAAACATCACGAGACTCATGATAAAGTCACAAGAATTTTTCATACATTACAGTGATGTATAAGTTTTGAATTGAATTTTTTAGAAAAAGAAATGTATGGGCAGATGGTGATATTTACTTAAGGGAAACTGAATTCATTATCTGTCTAGAACTGGGTGTTTCAAGCAGCTGTTTGAAAATGAGAACTCACTTTCCATGAAGGAGAACGTACGTTTGGGGAAAATGGAGCCCCTCTTCACAATGTAAGGCTCTCCCTCGTTTAGTCTGTGTTGGAGGGGTTTCTGGGGTGTGTGTGAATTCATTCATGGAAGAGCCTGATCAGTAATATCCAAGAACTAATTTGGTGAAATAATTTTGCAAATTCTTAAAAATGAAGAAGAAATAAAGAAGCAGTCCTTCTTAAAAGTTTCAAAACTAGATAAAAGTTGTAGCTGCTGTTTGTTGTTAAGGTATTCAACCAGAAAAAGGATTAAACCAAATATTTAGTAATCTTACGCTACCCTGCCATATTTAATTTCTGACTACCCAGCTTGTCTTTATTTTGATTTATTGAGGTACAATTACTGCAGGAAGTAGACACGTAGAGAACATCCAGGCGTAGGCTGGAAGAAAGCAAGACAAATAGAAATACGCCTGTTATCTTTTACAAATCTGTTTTTTGGGGACTCTCTGTTCTAGAATATGTTTATTCTATTTGAATATATATTTTTGGAGCTTAAGAGTATGAAAAATAATTTGTTTGTTCTTTTTTTACACTTGTTTCTCTTATGTTTCTGTGGAAAGCTAGCCAGATGCTGTGATCCTAGTGTGAAGACAGAAAGCTGTTCCTTGAGAACTGCGGTCTGTTTATTGCTGATGTCCGTCCTTCCCCCGTTTCTTTAGGATGACTTTCATGGGAAGTTCTTTCACCCAGGAGCCCTGTGGCCCTGTGTTTCTTGGTTCGCAGGGAAATACAAACCCGTCTGTTGTTTGGAGCAGATGCCTTTTCCCATTTACTTAACTTCTAATGCTTCTGTTTTCCCATTCCATAATAAGCAGATTGTTATGCTTAATTATTTTACTGGAACTTATGCTAGTATTTGTGAAGCTCAGCTATAGATTTTCAAGTGATTTTGCATCTCGGAATGGGCTTATGCGTTTGGAGTGACTGAAGGGCTTGTGATCCTCAGAACTCGTTGGTTTTGGAATTCTCTGTGAACACTGGAGTAATGCAGCTGTGTCCGTGGGAAGCACAGAGCCTGTTTTTAAGCAGGGCGGGTGTGCAAAGATGGCCCTTTGACAGAAAACGAGTTGTGCAGTTCAGACACCTTTCGGAATCTCATCACTTCATTCACCTTGCGGATACCTGCGGAGCCTCCCCACCCCGTACAGCGGCGTAAGCCATGAAAATAGCCATTCTGGGAGCACGTGGAAAAGGGGTTTTGTGCTCACCCCAAAGTGCTATCATTGGTTCTGACTATGTGGAGCTTTTATTGTGAATCTGGTGCGATACTCGTATGTGAACGTAATATGCTGTTTGTATATAAATATATGCCTTGTGGTCTGGCCATCTGTTTATTCGCAGTGGTTCAGTGTTTTGGAAGGTTAAACTGGTTTTGTTTGGCATTAAGTAAGAATTAGCAATGATTGCATAGTGTGTGCCGCATGCACCTGGTTGATGTGGAAAGCCTTCCGTAGCTGCTGCTGGTGGGGGAGAGATGATACAACAATAAACTGGTGTTTGGGGTTTTGGTATAAGCAAGTCTCTGGCCGCCAAAGGGTGTTGTACATTTCTGAGTTTCTCTTAAGTAGTGATCAGTTGTTGCCTCCTATTTGAACCAGATGAAGAATACTGTTTCGAAGGCCTGATGTTTATTCAGCTGTGAAGAGTAGCAGTATCTGGAATGGCGTTCAGGCTAGGTCTAGAGTCATTAACACTGATACATCGATGCAGAAGACTGAGAACTGAATAACATATCCTAGCTGAAATTTGATCACAAGGATATTTTCCCTCTTCTGAAGTCAAAATAGTGGTTTATACCAGGAACTTTGTCATATTAATCAGACATGTGGATTTCACTTATCCCTGAGATACTAGCAATTCCTGCCGCAAGATTGCAGTTCCTAACCTAATTTCTGTTTGGTTTTTTTTTTTCTTTCTTGTAGATCATAAAAGAGTTTGCAATGGCAATGCTCTGGAAATTCATGAGAGTAGCTAAGTATTCTAAAACAGCTTTGTCACCAAAAGTAAGGGTAAGAGGAATTCCCACCCACTCGAGGCATTCTTCATCCAAGTCTGTACCTTCAGATTTTGCTGCCAACGCACCCTGCTCAAATACTGTGGAACTGCTTGGTAAAACGTATCCTCAGGATGACTACAGCAATGTCACAGAGAAGATTCTTTCCAAGGTGGGGAAGAACTTGCACAACCAAAAGCACCATCCTTTGTGGCTAATCAAGGAGCAGGTGAAGGAGCACTTTTACAAACAATATACAGGACGTCGTGGGACTCCGCTCTTTTCTGTCTATGACGGTCTTTCTCCAGTGGTTACAGTACAGCAGAATTTTGATAGTTTGCTTATCCCACAAAACCACGCCAGCAGAAGGAAAGAGGATAACTATTACTTGAACCGTGAACACATGCTAAGAGCACATACATCAGCTCATCAGTGGGACTTGATACACTCCGGCCTAGATGCCTTTCTGGCAGTGGGAGATGTCTACCGCCGTGATACGATCGATAACACCCACTACCCAGTCTTCCATCAGATGGAGGGGGTTCGGCTCTTCTCCTGTCATGAGGTAGGAGTTCTCTAGTTGGAGTGAAAGAGATTTTGGGTAAGTTGCATGGTCTTGTATTTGCTGTAAGCAAAGTGCATGCACGTACACGTCTTACAGCAGCACGTATTAAGCTGTACATTGATAAAGATCAAGTGATCGATCATGTAGTAATACTTCTAGTTTGGGAAAAGTACAGGTGGAAAATGTTGAATGTGAAAACCGCTATAAACTTCCCCAGAAAAATGGGGAGAAAAAGACAATATTCTTGAAAGCTAGCAAAGCCAAAAGATTATCTGAAAGGAAACAGCTTGTTCAGCTAACGGTCTGCACGATTCAGTTCTGGTTCTATCACAAGTCTCTCCCAGTGAGGTCACTTTACCAAAAACTTTGTCATACTAATACTTGAAGGACTCACGCGTGTGAGTTGTTGCAGCTACATCCAGAATGCAGTTTTTACACTGTCATCTTTTTTCTTTTAATAGCTCCAACCTTTTGTAAGTGAATGTCTTTTTTAATGAATTGTTCCATTCTTCATCTTATCCTAATGCTGCATTGAAGGGTTCATCTGTTCCAGCTGATAGTCATGGGTGTGTGATGCATGCACAGTAAACTCGTCAGAGTCCAGAGCCATCAGTTAAAGAGCTCTAGGTAGATGTCTAAGATTAAGTTTATATATTTTGTTGGCACATCTTACATGTTCTGCAAATGCTTGGGTGTCATTAAGTGTTCTACTGTATCATTGATCAGTGGTAAATATAAGCCAGTTTGTTTTCCAAATAGTAATTGATTTGTATGATTTGTGTATGCTTGTAGCAATACTGCCAAATTCACATTTCTATAACTAAACCTAGCTTATTCTAATAATGCTGAGATGCAGACCATTTGTAACATGATTCCAGTGGGTGGCAGGAGCTTGGCAGGGAAGCGTGATGCGTTTGGATGCCTGAGGGAAAACCAGGGTAATCACAGAGCACTGCTTTGCTTGCTGGGAGAAAGGGTTCGTGCTGTCTGCGCTGGTGTTTCCCACCCCATGCTGTCACTGCTCCTTCCACTTGGAAAACATACCTGCTCTGCAGATGTCCTGTCAGCTACGTGGTGTCGCAGTCAGCTTGCAACGGCTTCTCTGGTAACCAGGAAATCTGCAGACTTATCCAGTCTTGTTTGTTTGCGGTTCTTTGCCCATAGGCCTGTTTATGAATACAATCAGGGTATAGGCAAGAGAAAAATGTACAGTACTACATTAAGAAAATGTCATTTCTTAATGTTTTATGTTCATGATAATTTTTATTTACTTGAGCAGGAGCTCAGACACTCAGATGGAAAGATTTTGTCTGCCACAAAATTCAAATGACACTCTTGCAGGATGGAATTTCTGCAAACTTAGGTGTGATTGGTCCAACTGTTGAAATTATCGCTAATGAATATGCCCCTTAATAATTTTGGGTCCTAATGACAGACTATTTCTTTCTTCTCTACAAATTTAATAAGGGGAGTAATAATAATATTTTAGTAACTGGGAAGAAAGTTACAGAAATGTTCACTGACATCTTCTGTCTAGAAAGACATGGTGTATAGCAATCTGAGTCATTACATTGTAGATTTCTTGTTTCTTTTTCTCTTCTTTCTTTTTCCCCAAGAAAATGATTGAGACGTTACTGGAGAATGTGAATAGCTGATGAGTTTGAAGTTAACTATGTGCTGGAAAATGTGTCTGTCTGAAGAATGAAAGTCCAGTTGACTTTCTATACTGATGAAGAAAAAATAGTGGTATATGGTGTACAATGTGTAAAGTTTTGTTTGTTGGGCAACAGGCATAAATGCTAAATGCGGGCATGATCTAAAGCATCCTTTTTTTGCTTCAGCTGCAGATTAAATACTGATAGATTCTTGCGATGTGTAAAACTTCTTACAGTCATCGTCACAAGAGCCTTGTGGAAAAAATAGAATGTGTAATGCTGAAATTTCACTGGGGACTGTTTCTGTGTTTTATGTTCTGGTTGCCTGTTCAAAATAAGGCAAATTTAAATAATTCCAGAAGGAACTGTCTGAGTGGAACAAAACCTAAATGGAGGTAATACTACATGAGAGAAATATTTCTGTATTCATTTATTTATACCCATGTTTAAGTTGTAACCCAGTAAGCAGAGATGCGTGAATGTCAGAGCCTGTTACCTTCATCTCAGGCTTTTCATTCATAACCAGACTACGATCTCTGGTGAGAGGAAATTTGCACAATATTGAGGATAAAAAGCTTCGGGACGGAGGGAAACACTGTTAGCTCTTAGCTACACGCCCTTGGTACATTTCATCTTGTGCCAATATAATAATTGTCTATGAGGTAGCAGGTTTCCTGCTCTACTGTGTTCTTTTGGTTTATACATTGTCTTCTCAGTGAAGGCGGCCATAGAGCCACGCGGGTGTCAGCAAACCCCAAAACCCAGAGTGGTTTCATAGGAGCTTCAATTTAGAGGATTTTGACATCTCATCTCAGTTTGGGAGCGGGAAATGAAAGTTAGCTCATCCTCAGCTGAAATTTTAGGCAGGAGAAGAAAGATGTCGAAGATGTAGAGAAGTGTCTCTCCTTTACAAATACTGAACTCTGTAGTCAAGGCTGGGTTAAAACACCTGCCTCGTGACTGAAACCTTGAGTATAATTCTTCGTCATATCAAGGTTAAAATCAATGCATTGGAAGTAAGACCTGGAAAAACAAATCATAGTTTGACAATTTTACTGTGAGACCCTTCTGAGCTGTTTGCTTCTTTGGCTATACTATTTTTCATGGTGGTTGGTTGGTTATTTTTGTAAGAGAAGTAATCTGTGAGTTGAAGATGGGCAGGTAATTGATGTTTTTCTGCAGCTTTGTATGAGTGCAGATATTAAAGTACTAAAGAAATTCCCATCTTCTAGGCTAGCTCATTGCTAAAATCTGGAATAATGCTGAAATTTTCCATAAACTTTTAAAAAGTGTCCTTGTACTGCTATCAAAGAACACCTGAAAATCTATTTAGACGCGTTTTCAGTATATCTAAAAGTATTTTAGGTAATTATTACCTGAATGTAATATGTGGAAGAGTTAGAAACTAACAGAAATAGTTAAAACCAGTGCCAAAACAGCTTCCCAAATGTGCTTCAAGAATTCTGGACAGAAAATGAACTGTTCTTCTCAAATAGTACCTCCAAATCGTATTTCTTTTGTATTCTTTTCTTCCACCATACCTATTTTCCTTCTAAAGGGTGCATAGATTTTTTTTTTTTCCCCTTCCATCTCAACTAAATTGCACTGGCTGCATTTTAGCCAGCAGAGGGAGCCAATATAAACCCGATGGCGATCACAGACCATTTTCTAGTTGACATCGAATAATATTTACACAATGGAAGGAGACTTCATAAGGTATTTTATAGCCTGTACTGAATTATACATAAATTTTAAGGGGAACAGATGTGAAAACATAAGAATCCCTCCAATTTAGTAACCTTGTTCCAATGGAGGCCAATACCAGATTGTTCAGAGGAAGAAAAGGTGCTCTCATTGGGCTCGTTTGTGCTAACATCTGAAAACTATAAATAGGGAGACTGCAAAGAAGTAGTAGGGATACATCTTTATTCTCCAGTGAAATGTTTTTGGTGGAAATGGCAACTTTTGTGTTAGGATACAATGGAAAACTGTAAATATTCCAGTTAAAAATAAGGACAACTACTCCAAAGCAGTATAGATAATTGTAAAAAAAACCCTGATATTGTAACTTCATAGTGTTTATATTCTGAAATGCAAAGACTTTTGTGCTAGGTAATAAAAGTGTAGGTTTTATTTTATTTGTATAAATACATACTTCTTTCCTCATCTTGTCATACTCGTGTACCCGGGCCATATTCCTTGTGTATTGTTAAAAAAGAAAGAAGTTGCTTTTATCCTTTTGCTTATGCTATGGGGTAGATGTGCGCACCTTGTTGACTTACATATTTTTAACTTTTTTTTCTTTTTAATATCAACACCTACCATCCTATGTTTTCACTTGCAAGTCTAGTGTCATTAGGTTTGACTTCTCAAAAATGCCGTATGTTACTGCAGATTTGGACACTGTGCTTCTGGATGCAACCATCCAGTCTACTCCTCATCCACCAAACAGCCCTCCCATCAGATCCAAATCTCTTCAATTTAGAGTGAAGGATGTTGTGGGGAATTGTGTCAGAGGCCTTACAGAAGTCCAGATAGAAGACATCCATAGCTCCTGTCTTGTCCACTGGTGTAGTCACTCCATCATAGACGGCCACAAGGTTGGTCAGGCAGGACTTGCCCTTGGTGAAGTCACAGTTGCTGTCTCAAATCACTTCCCTGTCCTCCATGTGCTTTAGCATAGCTTCTAGGAGGATCTGCTCCATGGTCTTCCCAGGCATAGAGGTGAGGCTGACAAAGTCAGTAGTTCCCGGGGTCTTCCTTTCTACCCTTTTTATATAAAAAGAGTGCAATGTTTCCCACTTTTCTGATCACCAGGGACTTCACCTGACTGCCATGACTTTTCAAATTTTATGGAGAGTGGCTTGGCAACTACATCAGGCAGTTCCCTCAGGACCCTGGGATGCATCTCATCAGGCCCCATAGACTTACGTCTGTTCAAGTTCCTCAGGTGGTCACAGACCTGATCTTCTCTTACAGTGGGAGGGGCTCTGCTCCCCCAGTCCCTGTCTTGCCGTCCATCCACTTGAGAGGTGTGGGAAGAGACATTGCCAGTGAAGACCACGGCAAAAAAGTTGTTGGGCACCTCAGCCTTCTCCTCATGTCTTGTTACCAGTTTGCCAGTCTTGCTCATTGCGGGGGTGTGCTTTCTTTGACCTTCCTGGCTGACATACCTGTAGAAACCCTTCTATTATTCTTAGTGTCCCTTGCCAAGTTCAGCTCCAGCTGTGCCTTGGCCATCCTGACACTATCCCTACACAACTGGGCAGCGTCCCTAGACTCTTCTCAGGATACCTGTCCCTGCTGCTTTTTTTTTTTCTGATTTTTTTTACATAGGATGGACAT